TCCCACGCTGTGTAAAATGACACAGAGCACTGTGATTGGATGGATTTCACGCCATCCAATCACGGTGCTCTGTGTCATTTTACACAGCGTGGGAAAATCCAAAAGAACTTTCCCACGCTGTGTAAAATGACACAGAGCACTGTGATTGGATGGATTTCAAGCCATCCAATCACGGTGCTCTGTGACATTTTACACAGCGTGGGAAAATCCAAAAGAACTTTCCCACGCTGTGTAAAATGACACAGAGCACTGTGATTGGATGGATTTCAAGCCATCCAATCACAGTGCTTTGTGTCATTTTACACAGCGTGGGAAAATTCAAAAGAACTTTCCCACGCTGTGTAAAATGACACAGAGCACTGTGATTGGATGGCTTGAAATCCATCCAATCACAGTGCTCTGTGTCATTTTACACAGCGCGGGAAAATTCAAAAGAACTTTCCCACGCTGTGTAAAATGACACAGAGCACTGTGATTGGATGGCTTGAAATCCATCCAATCACAGTGCTCTGTGTCATTTTACACAGCGTGGGAAAGTTCTTTTGAATTTCCCCACGCTGTGTAAAATGACAAAGAACACTCTGATTGGCTTAAACCCACCAATCAGAGTGTTCTTAGCCTAATTGCAGGGCGGGGCAAGGCTTTATAAGCCTTCCCCCGCTCTGCGGAGCTCAGTCTGCGCGGAGCCCTCCATGGGTGAAGATGGATTATTTTTTTGCGCTCGGGTTTTTTTTTTCCGTCGGGTTTTTTTTTTTGCGCTCGGGATTTTTATTTTATTTTCAATTCGACGGTTATGATGGTTTTTTATTTGGCCTTTTTTGGGGCTGAAAAAGAAGATTTGAGAAAAAAGAAGACGTCGAATGGTAAGTTTAATTTTATTTTACAGGTTAGTTATTTTATCCCCCCCTCACTATTTTTTAGGGTGAGGGGGGTAGGTAGGGACTTTTTTTTTTGGGTGGGGTGTGGGTGACTAGGGGCTTGGGGACCCCTAGTCACCTTGGGTGGGGGGGGGTAATTGACTTAGGGCCCCCACCCGCCGCCCAGGGGTGGGGGCCGGGGGCAGTAGGTCCCCCCCCATACTCATTATGGCCCCCACCCGCCGCCCAGGGGTGGGGGCCGGGAGGGGGCAGTAGGTCCCCCCCCCCATTCTCATTATGGCCCCACCCGCCGCCCAGGGGTGGGGGCCGGGGCAGTAGGTCCCCCCCCCTAATTCTCACTATGGCCCCCACCCGCCGCCCAGGGGTGGGGGCCGGGGGGGGCAGGGCCGGATTAACATAGGGGCTGATGGAGCTGCAGCTCCAGGCCCAGGCCCATGGAATAGGCCCATTGATTTAAAAAGAAAAAAGAAAAAAAAAATTAATTTGTTTTTTATTTTTTATTTTTTATTTTTTTTACACACACTACTATTGGGGTTGCCAGGTATTTCTCATGTATTTCTTATGGTTGCCAGGTATTTCTCAGAAGTATTTATCAGGTATTTGAGGCTGCCTAGCCGGTGCCGGTATTGCAGTAATACCGGCAATACAAATGTCTATCTCAATATAAACAGAGATTATTCTGCAATACCAGTGCCAGCCAGTAGGGGTCGCTGTTTGTGTGGAGAGAGGCAGGGATAAGAAGTTACAGCATCTGCCTCTCTTTACTCATTGATCTGCGGGGGAGCAGCTCTGCACAGAGAGTCCAGACAGCAGCTACGAGCCTGCGAGACATGTGGACACTGAGACATTGGGAGACATAGGGACACTGGGGAACATGGGGACCCTGAGACATTAGGGACACAGTGGCTCCATGTCTCTCAGTGTCCCCTAGTCTCTCAGTGTCCCCATGTCTCCCAGCCAGTGTCCCCATGTCTCCCAGCCAGTGTCCCCAGGTCTCCCAGTGTCCCCATGTGTCTCTCAGTGTCCCTAGTCTCTCCATGTCCCCATGTCTCTCCATGTCCCCATGTCTCTCCCAGTGTCTCATGGTCCCCATGTCTCCCAGTGTCCCAATGTCTGTAAGTGTCCTCTAGTGTCCTAGTGACATCGGGACACTGGGAGACATAGGGACACAGACTCTAAGGGACACTGGGAGACATGGGGATACAAATACTAGGGGACACTGGGCAACATGGGGACACTGAGTTGCTAGGGGGCACTGAGAGACATGAGGACACTGGGTGACTTTGAGACCTGGGAGACATGGGGCACTCCCAGTGTCCCCATGTCTTCCAGCCAGTGTCTCTAGTATCTCAGTATCCCCTTGTCTCCATGTCCCTGGTGTCTCTCAGTGTCCGCAGTCAGGGCCGGCGCCACCTGTAAGGCAACCTAGGCAGCCGCCTAGGGCGCAACTTAGCAGGGGGCGCCGTATCCCTGCGCCCGGCGGCTCCTCATGCTGCACCGCCTGAGTGCTTTAACAAGCCCCAGGCGGCGCGGCATTGCTGTGTGGAGGGCGGCCAGGTTTGTGACCGGCAGGAGGGAGGTGCAGAGAGCTCCCT